AGCAAAGCTTTGCTTCAGATTTCTGTTTAGCACTACAACTGTATCAGTCGTGAAACAGCATCTTTCTCAGTGTGCAACTTCCCATCTTGCCTAGAATGTTCTTTAAGTGTTCTACACTTGCAGAACGTTCTCCCCATGAAAGGCACACTTAAATGATTATATAGAAATCCTGCAAGGTTTGTGACTTTTTCTTTAATTACTATAATCCGATGCAATGGAGCAAAGCATTCCACTAAACAGGAGTTACAACTTGATATTTGGAGTTGCTTGGATAGCTGAATTTCACCAATGATTTTCCCCAGATATTGCTGTCATGTCAGCTATTTATTTGTACGGGCTTTTCAATTTATGCTAATCATTGTGCTACTTCAGTGTTACAAACAGTTGCTGTGTCTTTGCAACATTATTGAAACGAGGGATTTTTTTTATTCCATACTATGAAGTTTTAGGTGAAAATTATTCAACTTGCTGTAAAGCAGCATATTGATTGAAGGGTAATCTTTTCTAATGCAAAGCTTGTTTGTCAGTAAGAATCGTTTCACTGACTCTACTGTGCTTTGGATGAGCTGTTTTTAAAAAAGAACTGCTTATAGTAAACTGAAAGCAAAATATCTGTGAATATACACACCAGTATCAAGAAGCTCTTCGCTTCTAATGTTAAACCCAGCTTTTCTATAGTGTTTATGCCTCTTCAGGAACTTTCGTTTCTTTTCTTTTATTTCTGCAGTGATACAGATCTGTAGCAATTATATGTGAAAAAGATACTGGAGAAATTACATGTGAGCAAGGATGTGTCTCCCATGTGATGACTATTTTTGCTTTTGTGAAACATGACTTATGACCCCAGCTACTTTTGTTCTGCCTTCAAATTCCCATCTGATTTTACCTTTTTCTCACGTGAATGCAAAGAATTAAAAAGAGCAACTTGTAAGATGACACTGCTGTTAACATGCAGACCACAGCTTGAGAATGACTTTATTTAAATGTTTCTGACTTGGAATAATTCTGTCTATTTGTCTGTCATTACATATTTTTGTGTTCATCCCATGCAGCAAGGATTACTTGTGCTAAACAATGGGATATTCTTTTGCTGTTATCCAAGGCACAGCATGCTGATGGGATGGCATCCCCCACACCAGCCTCGATCCCAAACTGTTTTTCTGTGAAATGATTTGGTTCCTCTTGGAAATGAAGTCACTAAAAAGACACTGGATCAGAATAGCACTATTGTGAGAAATCTGTATGCTTTCTTACAAAGCCTAGCAGAAAAGTGTAAGGGTATTGTGATAGCTGCTAACAGTCAGCACTGGATCTCCAGAGCTACATGACTGAGATGAAACCCAACAGAAAGTTAACAGGGATAAAGTACAGCCCGTCATCAACCAGCAATGTCATCACTCAGTCCTGGAAAGGACAGATCTGATTAGAGAACTGAAGAGGGACAACAATTTCCTACCCCTGCAAGTGCTGCTGCATGCCTGGTTAAAGTTTTTGGCAGATTCACAGTCTTCCTTACAGTTATGAGAACCAGTATATGGAAAACATATTTATTGCTCTCTTAGAATATTCCAGTGTTTTTTTTAATTTTAAAAAGGACACCAATTCCCTACTCTCCCATTGTACAAAGTCTCATCTCTGGTTAATATTGTTCACATGTTGCTGCAGAAAGAGGGGGTCAAATTCTGATACCCTGCACAAGCATTATCCCAGTGTCCTTGAAAGATTTGCTATGATGACAAATGGTTTCTCTTAGTTTTCTGCCAGGCTGAGGAAGGCAGTGCAATAGAAGGACATCGTTAAAAGCTCTTGATGTGGCTTAATGATGTAAGGCCCTGCTGTGTCTTAGGGATCTCTAGAGCTGATGGCACAGATTTACTGAATCTTATATATGCCACGCTATCTGTCACACAGCTGGTATATCACAGTTTTTGGGACATGGCAGCACAGATATTTATTTTCCTGTGCCTAGAAATTCTTACACAGGCAGTGAGGGACTTACACTACTACTTCTTTCTCATCCATTCTTAAGCCTGTCTTAGTGTTCACCATCCCTGTGGCCGTGTTTCCCTTTACAGGCAAGGTTAGCAAATTCAGCATGTCTGGACATAGCTCAGACATGGGGGAGGCAGTGCCTGAAGGAAGCAGCACAGTGGTTCAGGAGCACACCGCAGCAGCCTCCAAGGCTGTTAATTCAGCTGCTTTGACCAAGTGAAAGACGAAGTTTGTAATGATTTCAGACAAGTTTCACTTTATTTATTTGGGTCCTAAAGGCTACGGAAATTATCGCTTCATCTGTTGTGTGCTGCAGCTTTATAACATGCATAACAATATTGGCTAGCCTTGGGTGTGCGGTGTCCCTGGTCACGGAGCTACAAGTCAGCTCTCCTGAAGAGGCAGAATCAATGCCTCTCTGTGTAAACATCCCAGGTTTGAAGTCTTGTGGTTCTTTAACTCTATTTTTAGCATGACCCAGAGAGATGCTGAGGAGGAGGCAGATGTGTCTGGTAGAGCAGTGAAAGTGCCTCTGTCTGGGTTAATGCCAGTTGCCAATGAGCAGTGGATTTAGGGCTCATGTTTGCATGGTTTGAGGACGTTGTTGGAAGCCTTTCTGAATTCATCTTCAAGTACATTTCCTTGAGCCAAGTGATCTTAGGGGCCAAGATTTTATTCTTTTTATAATTGCTAATATGCAGTTGTCTAGACAACAAGTGGCTGTAGCTTATTTTAATTAGTAAGCAAAAAGCATTCATTATATCCTGATGCTCTGCAGACACCTGCACAGGATTTTGTAGAATCTTGGGGACATCTCTGCTTTTTCTGCTTCTCACACTGGCTAATGAGGAATAGCACGCAGTGTTTCTCTCTGTGTCTGATCTTTCAGGCTGGAAGGATTGAAATTGCCAATAAACAGTTAGCTCATAGTTGTATCTCAAGGACAGGACATTCTTCCTGCTAATTGGGAGAAAGGGGGAGAATTCTTCTGACCAGTTTCATAGGACACATGTCTTGAGTCATGAAAGCATAATCTCCTAATAATTGCAAAGGATTCTTGCTCAGAGACATTTAAGCACTTAGAAATGCTTCCTCATAAAGAAAAGCTTATAGCATAACTCCCAAATGTCTACCACTGCCCTTTGAAATGTGACAAAGACCCTGTGGGCACAATTCTCTGCTCAGCCATCGTATCTGTGCAGTGGTCCCCACCGTAAATCTTGTGTTTTTACAGTGAAGTCCCTTGTGCAGAAATACAAAATATGCATCAGAGATTGCTTTGTGGGTGGAGGACGCAGGTTTAACTTTCTATTAAAACAAAAATTACACATATTGAATAGCTTGCAGGAGCCTAGAGCTGGCATTTTCTTTGAATGGATCCAGTGTCAAGTTGATTTTTAAACTGGACAGTGAGATCAGGGACTTGACTGATCTTTATGTGCCATCATAGAGTTTTCATTTCTCTATTTGTTCTTAAGAGTCAAGTGTACTTTTGGTTTGAAAGACTATAAGGGTATGTGAGAAGAAGTAATAGGTTCTACAGTGACCCTGACTCTGTTGCAAATGGCACCTTCTGCCCCTAATTTCTAATCCTGCATCATCCAGAAAGAGTTTTGCACCTTTTTCTCCCATTTTTGCTCCTGCCACAGTCTCCGAAGCATAGTTAATGGCCTGTTTGCTGTTATCTGATCATGCATTTGCGTGTTTTTTTCTGTCATGTGAAAAGGGCTGATATGGCTGCCATTAAATATTTTCCTGTTCACACTAACTTTCAGCATGGTTCATGGCTGCAGTAGCTGGAGAGGTTTCTGTGTCACGGGGAGGGAAAAAGAAAGTGGGTCTCTCAAAACTGAGGGCTCTGTAAAACGATTACATCAACTCATGACATACAGGAGAGAGATTTTGAGAGCTGAGTGCGTTTGTTTCACATCATAGCAGTGAATTTAGAAATGGGAACTATACTTGATACTTTTTTCCCTTAGTACAGCTCATTTTTTTGTCCGACCCATTAAATCAGGGTGGCCAGGGGCTGAGCTTTTTTATAAAACTGCCATGCACAAGTGTGAGAGACAGTGCCTGACCCCAAAAGATCACAGTCTGAATGCATCAGACACCTGAAAGGTTGGAAGAAAAAGAGGTACAGAGAGAGAAAGTAACTTCCCCATGGCCACATAAAAAGTAGCAGAGTCCAGACTGTACCATAATTCTCACGTCACTAACCTTCCCCAAGTTTTGAACTATTTACAGACAGTACCTATCCAAGTAGAGGTCCTTGTCATGAGTTGGCCTCCAGAGAGTTCTCTCTACTCTCTAAGCATACATTATTTTGGGAACGGTAATATGGTGATCATGTCTAACAAAAATAAAGCATTTTTTCAGCCCATCAGCACAATTACGGGATCAATCTGCAGCCTCTGAAAATGAATTTAAACAGCACTGACACTACCAAACATGATTTGAAGTGACTGTATATTCTGTGCCTTGTTTTGCAAGGCCAAGATGATGATGATTTCCTCTGTTATCTATAACATGATTAGGTCATTTCTTGCCCACTCATGTTTCTGGACATGTCAGCTAGGGCAACAGTCATTGCCAATATTGAGTCTAGTTTTGAAAGATCTATACCAGCTTCCCTGTAATTTTTATTCCAGTAATTAAAATGCTTTCAGATCTGAAAAAGAGATGGGCAGTTTTCAAAGTAGGAATAAGAATAGGCGTTTTGTTTTGATTTGTTTTGGTGTTTTTTTTTCATTTTACCAAGATTAATGTCTACATGGGAGAAATATGAAGAAAATTTGGTGGGGACTTTTCCAGCTAACTATGATGATAAAAAGGAAGTTTGGAGTGCACTGCAAATATGTGTTTTCTGTGCCTGCCTAGTGTTCCACTGCTTAAGTCTGCCATTAGCTTTTTCATGGATCCCTGAAACATATAAACGACTCTTCATTAGAGCATAACTTGAACAACTTAATGTTAACACATTCCTATTTCTTCTCTCCTTTTTTTAGATTGAATATAAGCTTTGCAATGGGTCTGACAAAGAGTGCATGTCTCCCACAGCCAAATTCACGAAGAAGGAAACACTGAAGGTATGTGCAAAGCAGCCAAGTCAGCATCAGCTGACTTTTACAAAACAAGTAGTACCTTCCAAACAAACCATTGGGAACTACTGGGACTCATTTCCCAAGACCCAGAGAAGCATCCAACTCTTCTAGGAGTCATTATAGGCCAAGAGCATTTACAGGCTTTATATATAGGATTAGATTATATACTGCAAACAGAACAAATCGGTGTAATTATTTCACTCTGTTCATATGTTCCAGAGCCATTAGGCACCTCAAGAGGATTGTAATCCTTCATGGGTCTTGTTAGGAGGGGTATACCAAGGCAATCTGTGCAAATTATTGCTTTAACACTTGCCTGTCTACCAAACGAAAAGTATAAAGAATTTGGTTTGGATGAAATTAATCTCTTTAATTTGAGGGGTGGGGAGGACTGGGTATTCAGCCTCTTTCCATGCCCCCCAAAGAAAAACCAAATTAGATTATGTTTAGTGGAACTTCAGGAGCAAAGAAAATGCTTGCTATCTTGTAATCTTTTTGTTCTTCCTTGTGCTCATTTCTGGGGAACCTGTGCTGGGTCAAGTTCTAGCTGTGCTATACATAACTGTCCTTAATGCATTAAATTCTTTCCTCCCCAAAAGAAGCCATGATTACAGCTGCTATATTTTCTCTGTTCTCAACCAGGTACAAAAAAAAAATTACAGACAGGAGAAGAAAAGAGCTACCAAACAACTCTTTAGTGCTCTGAAGGATCCCAGCGTAGTGATCACAGCAGACTGGCTGAAGGTATTTAACACAGACCATTGCTTCTGAGGCTGTAGGGGAAAAAAAGTGAGAGGTACTTGATGTGTCTGAGACTTATGCACTAGCACTTTTTTGAGTGAAGGAAGACTGAATAATTTTGAGTTGAAGTTCCTGTAAAGCTGTACTTAAATAACTGCTATAAAAGTGGAGTTATAGGGAATATTTACTTTCCATCTTAACCTAACTCAATCCATCTATTCCATGTCCTTAAGTAGCAACAAGGTCTCAAAAGTGCATAGTACAAAAGGAAGTGATGATGTTTCTTTCTTTCTTCCACTCTGAAAGAGCCTGCTGGCCTCTTCCCATAGATGTGTTTTTGTACTGAAGAGGGAATAGGCAGAGTAACAGCATGGAAATGGGCAGATACAGCTTGTTCTATTGACAGCTGGATTTTGTGTTGTCACAGCACAGAAAGAAACATATTGGACCTGATGACAACTGTAATTTCTCCTTGTGCAAAGACTCAGCTAGTGACAGCTTCTCACTGAAGTCCTGAAACTTTGTATGTGGCAAAACAAATTTGGATTGACATTGAGAGAAGTTACCTTTGTCCACTGTTTTTCTCCTCATCTGGGGCCATTTATTCTTCTCAACTAACAGTGAATTGGTTGCCCCTTTCATAATGTCAAAACGTAGTTTCCAGACATCACCAAACACATAGGTCTTTAAAAGAAAAAAAAAAAAACACCTTAGGGATTTCATGAAACAGTACAACCACATTTGACCGACGTGAAAAACCTCCAACATTGTTCTACAGTCAGTATTAGCGGCAAGAAAACTGAGATGCGAATGGTTTATTTGAGAAATTAGATTGGCAACAAAATGTTTCCATAGTGTTTAGTGTTGATGATAGATAAATACTGAGATTTTTTAAAGTACAAAATAGCTGTTGCAAGTTTGCTGTGGCTGGAGATTTCTAGTTCAGCAATAAATGATTCTGTGACACAAAAACAGAACACTGATGTAAGACTTGAGGTTTGGGCTATGTACATTGAAGACAAGAAGACCTTAGGCAAAATCAAACCTTACAGAGAAACTTCCCCATTCTTGAAGCTGTTATCTTTAATATATGCTATCAGATTTAATGTCTTATATACAGTAGAGACAGTGAATTGAGCTTGACAGAGAAGTAAACCAGCTGGAGAAAATGCTTTTAAAAATGGGGTATTTGACAAAACCCATTAATAGTGCTGTTCTGTAGAACTCTATTAAAATGACTTAAAGTTGAGTTCAACTAGCTATAACATTTTTCTATGCAATGTTCTAATTGACATGTCCTCCATGATAATTAACAAATTACTCTCACATGGCCCGGCAGTGCTGGTTGCCTAAAAAATTAAGCAAGCTGCTAACACTAAGCCAGTAATAAAAATATGAAGACTAGATTCTGATAGCCACATTTAGAAGGTCTAAGATTTTGCTATGAAATCCCTAAGACTCTTCAGATAATGCAGTGTATCTTCCTAAGGAAGTGTATTCTAGTGTGGCCTTGGGAGAAACACATATGGGAAATACTGTATAAATACTGAACGAATGCTGTTTTTCTTTTAAGGAGCAACGTAAATGCAACTTTCTGTTCTTTCCCTGCTTCCCTCCAGATTCGTGGCACTCTGAAGAGTTGGACCAAGCTGTGGTGTGTTCTGAAACCAGGAGTGCTGCTGATTTATAAGACTCCAAAGATCGGACAGTGGGTTGGGACAATCTTGCTCCATTCTTGTGAGCTGATCGAGAGACCCTCCAAAAAAGATGGCTTCTGTTTTAAACTTTTTCATCCTTTAGATCAATCAATCTGGGCTGTAAAGGTAATGATCCTGATGAGTCAAACAACCTCTTCTTGATCACCTAAGTGTCTGAGCACTAGTATTATCTATCATTGATATTAATCTAGATTTGCAGTTATTCAGTTGTTGTTAGTGATGGTGAACTGACTGCATAAAAAGATGAAAGACACCAAAGCTTGGTCACAACATGAAATCAAAGGAACATGGTGCGTTGTGATTAGTTATACAAATGTATCATCCTTGGTGTATAACTGCATGCATAGACTGAGAAAAGGGGAAATATGCATGCATGCATGCATGCATGGGGAAACAAGGGGAAACATGCATGCATGTTAGTGCAGGGAAAAAAGATCAATACCTAGAAGCTGTATCAAGCCATGGCCTACATTTTAAAAAGAGATGAGTAATAGACCAAATTAACTGACTTTCCCAAAACAAGGACACACAAAGCACCAAATGCTTCGCAAAACACTGGAAGAGGGCTGGCAAAGTGACAAAAAACATATTAATAATTTGATTTTATTTTTCTAATGTCTCTGAGGTTTGAGTTTGTTTGCCATGGACTTGGAACTCAGTGAACTTGGAACAAGGCTTGGAGCTCAAACCTTGACTGTTCCACAAAAGTGTGACTTAGGATAGGTTGTCTTAATTTTCTCTTTTTTGAAATGGAAATAGCAAGGTTTTCTCTCCTTCACTTTGAGTGGTTCTTCAGTCTGTTTTTACTCACAGGCTGAGACAGTCTCTTCCTGTACACAGAGTAGCTCCTGCAGTGACCTCTGGATCTCCCTGTAATGCAAATGATGAATAGTTTCTCACACTTCTTAAAATAACTCTGCTTTAAAGAGCTGATTTGCTTTTTCTTCCTTCCTTTAAGAATAGGCAAAAAGAAAAAAATTATTTAATGCCTATGAACAAAGAGGAAGACCCCAGTACCTCCTGAGGCGCACTGAATGCAACATCTCTTGGATACCCTGAATGTTCATGAACTCTTGTTTCCCCATCAAAAAACAGCAACTCAGCAGAGTTACTGCAGACATAAATTCTCTGGAAGACATCACCAGTGTAAGCAAGGCAGTTCAAACTACTGGCTTGCTGCAAGGTGGTCAGCAGAGTAAATCCACTTGGAAAGACTCGTGCAAGAACGATGAAGGCATTTGTCATTGGCATCAGAAGGTCTAACAAAATGGAGGGGAAGCCCTGTGGGAGCAGATCAAGCAGCCTCACTCGTGCTCATCCCTGCAGTTAATTGAACAGTTTTAAACACAGCTATACAATCACTATAAAAAGTCTTGCAATTTTTAATAAGGAAGGAGGAGAGAATTAAAATTAACCTCAACAACTGCTGCTGAGCTCAGCTCTGATCTGTGCCTAGATGCATTGCTTTTGCTTTAAGTCCCAAAGGTTACATTGCTACCTTTCTTCTTACTCAGTTTTGAGAGTTCTGATGCTTTTTAAATTCAGAGCATGCACCCAAAGAAGGTTGTCGATCATTTGCTGTCCATCAACAAAAAAATTTCTTGTGATTTGACAGGTCAACTGAATTCTTCTGAAAAGCACAGTCAGAACAGTGAAAAAGTAGAATCAAAAATGCAGTCAGGTATTGAAAAGTAGTGTCGCTGACAGATCTGAAGTGTTATCCTAAAATACCCTTCCCTTGGTATGAATCATCCAAAAGGAAGAGGAATTTTTATCAATACGTATATGTATGTGAATGTGTAAGTATATTTGTTACATGTCTCTTGAGAAAATACATGACAGAAATAGGAATTAGTATATTAAATATGAAAGGAATATATCTCTGAAAATGTTTGTGTACTAGAGGAAGTCCCAAGAGATTTGAATTTTAAAGTCAAAGTAATATTCTAAGTCAATTGAGACAGTTATTTAGAAAGCTACAGTTGAGCTGCATAGTGGCCTGAGTTCAGCCTGGGTAGTTATGTGTGTCACATGCTTTCAGCCACAAGGTGAACACCAAAATACACATGAAGAAGAAATCCAACAGTGAACTGCTCAACGTCAAATGCACTCTGACAACAGTTTAAGGCTGAAACTGCTAAAAAACTGTTTTGTTTTATGTCATTTCATGGCCTTCTTTTAAAGCAACTGGAGTAGAATTGACTGACCTAAATTGTTTATGTATAACTGTGCAAAGAAAGCCTATTTATCATTAAATATAGATTAGCCCAAGCTTAAGCAAGAAGCCCAAGTTATCATCCGTCACGATAGAGATAAGATCTGGCTAAACAACTTTCACTTTTGGCTAAAATGGCTTGCAAAATTTTCAAGGTTTTCCAGACTAGAGTTGGTGGTCCAGTTTTGACTCACACCAGTGGACTTCCAGCTAACTCAGCGTGATTAATGAGCACCTTTGTACCTGTTGACCTGGTTGCTCAGCAAATGTTCGGATCTAACTGTGGGGTGCAGCCCTGGAACAAATGTCTGATTCAAGAACTGCCCTAGACATTTGTAGTTGTGCTAGCCAATTAAATTTGATGTGCAGGTGTTTAACTTCAGTTAGACCAGGATGAAATTTTGAGGCACCTCTCAAATGGTAAGTAGGTAAGATGTAAGGTCATTGCTTATAGTTGAAAGCTAAAGATATGGCCAGGGAACTGTTTTTCCTATAAAGCTCTCTCTAAGATAGCCTAGCGCTATCTTAGAAGCATCTCCCTGAGGGGAGAGAGTTCTTTATTCTACGCTGCTTCCCTGGCTTTTTGAGAGTTTTAGCCTGAAACTCCTTCACAGTCAAAATGGATTAGACCTTTTACCTTTTTGCTCTGCCCAGGCCTTTGTAAAGCCAAGACCAAAACTGCCAAGGTCTCAAAATGAGTCAGCGGCACAAGCAGTAATAAGAAAAGCTTCCCCCAAACGCTCCGAATACTGCTGCAAAGGCACTTTGCAGTCCGTCGTGTGAAGGCAGTTTGATCCCATGCTGCTTCAGGGAAGAGACTTTTTGCCAAGATGACTGCGAGAGACTGGGGAATGCCAACCTAGTAATTAGCATGAGGTTGTGAGTGTCTGTCCTCTTGCTTCACAGAGGGAGTGTAGGGCTATCAGCTGGCAGGATTTGCTGGGCGGTCCCAAAAAAACGTCCTGGAATAGTTCGTATTTCCCTTTGAGCTTGCTCAGAAGCTAGCTGAACAGTATGGTATGGGAAAGCTTTTACTGACTGCAGCTTCTTCTGACATTTATTTAGAGCGCTAAATGAGTTGGGGTCAGACCCACTGAATCTGGGTATATATAAAATTTGAGTTTTGTTGATTTTAAGAACTTTGAGTCACCCCTTTAAAGAAAAAAGTTCTAGTAGTGTGCTCCTGCTGCTGCTTTTACAATTGTTTGTTCTACTCCATAATACAACACAATTTCATCTTCATCTACAGTTATCCACAGTACTGTTAATGAAAGGGATTTTTTCCCCCTTTTTAAGCTTTGTTTTATGACTCTCTAAGACTAGATGTCTTGTCATACTATCTAAAACAGTGTGAGTCCACTCCATTTTTCAAAGCCTAATCAACCCCTGTTTGATAATGCCTTTTGAGTCTCAAATCAAATGTAAAGACAGGAATGATCTGAAGATGATCCTTTCTTAGCTGTACTGTGTAGAGACTGCAGCTGAGCTCCAGGTCCTAGTGTAGCAGGGATAACATTCACTTTTAGTGAGAGATGGTCATTGTCTTGGAGGTCTTAGACTCTGAACAGACATGATGCTCAAGTGCTGGGAAACGGAAAACATCAGTATCTCTGCCAGGCAGATACAGAACCTCATTTACTCTGCGGAGATGTTGACTTTATTTTTATGGCCTCTCTCTTTTCTTCTCCTCTTCTTTCTGTGGGAAACAGCCCTCTCCGTGTATGACCATGCCTTGCTATTGAATATGCTTCCTTGACAGAGTGAGCTGGTGGCTCCTTATGTTTATCCACATGCCTAAATGTCTGTTAAAACCTTGTGTTATCCCCTCCTTCCCTTCTCCCCCTTTTTTTTTAATAATGGTTCTCTGGATCTGTGCTGTTCAGTTGTGAGGTTTTTCCTCCAACAGGTAAAATATCAACCTCTACACTGAAAACACAAGTAATGGCATTATTAACAGTTCTTGAACACACCCTGCTCAGCTGCAAGCTACTGAAAAGAAAAATGCCATCGGGAATGATGCCTGATTGCATTAATATCACTAGTAATGTCTTAAGCTGCTCTGCTCTGGTTTACTAATCAAATTTCAACTTTGCCAGTCCTGACAATTCAGCCTTTAAACAGTCTTAATTTTGTGAACCTCTTGTGGGAGAGGGGAGGGGAAAAAGAAGTGAGAACAAGGATCCCAATTTCTCCTGGCAGCAGAAGAACCCCACAGATGTGAAGACAAGAAGCTAGACTGGAGATTGTTGTCTTCACTACACCTTTGTGGCATAGACTCAGATACAATTTGATGCTTGTCCTATGCTTGCACTCGTCGTTCTTTCAAATTTGGTTTTCCTGAGTGGAACTCAAAAACAAAAATCCAGATAAAAACCACCATTTAACTACCAGCCACTTGTATATGGGAGCACTTCTCAGTAGTAGTCACAGTTTCCCTGCATACAAACTAATGCTAGGGAGAAGTCCTTCTTTCAAGGAGCAGGATGGTATACTAGAAAGGCCCATGTAAGGGAGGAGAGTCATACTCAAACTGCAGAAATTTGCCTACAGATTTTCAGCATTGTGTGGTATTCTGTAGAAACTCAAGGAAACATGTATTTGAGCATCCTGGAGAAAACTGCTTGTTCCACCCTGCAGTTGGCAGAGCGGTCATGCGAGTATTGATGGTGTTTTCTGCTCTGCATTTATTTCTGACATGATGTCTGCATTTTTGAAAAAGGATCTGCTTTCATGTTGTTTGCTACAAAGTGAGGGAGAGAAGAAACTGAAGGAGGCTGGGTCACTTTGGAAATGCAAGGGGGAGGATGGACTCCTATTTATATTTCAGCCAGGTCATGGCACAAAGTCCATACCATGGAGAGTATGAAGCTGTGCTCACTGGGTACAGGAA